CTCTCTCTCTCTCTCTCTCTCTCTCTCTCTCTCTCTCTCTCCCTCCCTCTCTCTCTCTCTTCCATGTCCTTGGAAGATGAGTGTTGGCAAGGGGAAATGACCTGAGGCTCTTATAAACAAGGCCAGGCGTGGGTGGTGGTGCACGCCTTTAATCCTAGCACTTGGAAGGCAGAGGCAGGTGGATCGCTGTGAGTTCAAGGCCAGCCTGGTCTACAGAAGTCTACAGAGCAACTTCCAGGATGTGCAGGAGCAGAGAAACCCTGTCTTAAAAAGAAAAAAGAAGAGGAGGAGGAGAAGAGGACGAGGGGAGGGGGGGAGGACGAGAAAAAGGTCTTCTGTACATCTGAACACGTAACTGGCTAGATTTGACTGCCAGGAGTGTACTCAGCTTCCATCACCAAAGACCCCGTACACGGCACAGCTCACTGAGCACTGCTCTGGGTACAAATGAAGCCATGAGGAAAGGTTCCCTCTCCTGCCCTTGTCCCCTGGCCTCAGGCTACCACAATTCAAGCCAGAGCCCCTTGGCCGACCATGGAACCTCTGGCCTACAACCTTTCTAACGCTGCGACCCTTCAATAGAGCTCCTCATGCTGTGATGACCCCCACCATACAATTATCTCTGCCACCACTTCATGCCTGTAATTTCGCTATGGCTATGAATCATAGTGAAAATATCTGCTACGCAGGGTGACCTTAGGCAACCGCTGGGAAAGGGTCCCTCGCAGGTGACGACCATGTCTAGGTCTACCACCTCTGCTTCTCGTTGTCCTGCTCACTGCTGGGGCCAGTGGTACCCAGCAGTGGGTACCAGTCTCCCTCCACACATTTCTCAGGACCTACATCCCTCTCTATTTAAGATGACACAGTGCAGGTGACAGGTCTCAGGCACAGAGCACATCAGTGAGGAGCAAGTGGCACTACCAGGAATGAGCTGGCCTGTCTAGAGCAAGAGGTCCTGCTGCCCTGGCCTTCCTTGTCCTTCCCCAGGGGATCTTCGGATGGCTCTCGTAACCCTGCACAGTGGTCCTACCGCTTTCGCACTTCCAAGAGACATTTGGCCAGTAGTGATACAGAAAACGCCACCATCTAAACAGTCTTAACCAATCACAGGAGAGAAGTCTGAAGGGCCAGCTGCAGCTCCAGACTCCAGGAGATGTCCTAACATGGCCAGTAGGCGGCTCCCCTGGGCAGAAGTCCAGGATGTTAACCTTTCTGGTCACACCACAGGCCCTGGCATGAACCCTGAGGAAATCAACATGGACTTCCAAAGTAGAGTCTGTGCGGGTAACGGGTCTGTCAGAGAGGGGCAGCTGCACAGGTCAGCCTGCAGGGGGCATGAGCAGTGACAGAGCCACGGAGGCTCTTGTTGGACTGTGGTCTTTGGACAGCTTCCCTGGGAGCTCAGTGGGCCCTTGCTGTCTGGTCTAGAGAGGCCGCAGGGTGCAGTTATTAGCCAGGATAGATCTTGAACCCACCTGTTCCCGCAACCAAGGCCCTGGAAGAGCAACTTCCATGAGCACTCACCCAGGCCTATTCCCCAAAGGCAGGTCTTACCAACACCAAGACTAACAAGTTTGGAAGCCGCCTCTGAAGGCTGCTGTTTAATGGAACTGCCACGCTTTTGAGGTCACACATGCCCCACTACCTCTAAATCAGTAATTCCGAGCTGTGGGATGACTTCTCCTGGGGTGGGTCTTCAAGCATCAGACACAGCACGTTCACAATCTCATAGTACAGCTCCTGAAGCCTGGAGAGCAGAGGAGGAGCGGGGACCTGAGGACAAAGCAGGCTCCATGCCATGCCGTCCCCACATACCACATACTGGTACCCGTGCAGTCACGGAACCCACGGGTCTGTGCAGGATCAGGAGAGAAGTAAGACTCCAGGTAGGTTGGAACCCTGCATCTGTCTCTCTGCTGGGGGTCCCCGACATAAGCTAACTCATCTGTCTCATATAGCATGTCCACCACAATCCCCTGCACTCTGCAAGCAGGGATGGCATGCTGGTGCCTAAACAGTACCTGGCCTGTGCTTGAACCCAAAATGGGCATTCCCTGATTCGCTCCTTTCCAGTCAGTTCCCCTAGTCACTGAAGTTTCCAGAGGGATTCCATAGAGAGGTCAGGCTTCTGATGTCTGCTCTTGCTCAGAGTCCACAGTAGCTTCCTAGTGTCCACAGCTCCTCAGCTGTCAGCCAAAACCCCAGTTAGCTGGCACTGAGGATAGTCGGGCCTCATGTAGCTGGCCCAGTGGCTCTTTGTGTGGTACTTGTTCAAAGCTACAAGGAAGACGGCAGCAGAGCCAAGCTAGGACCCTCTGCACTTGACTTAGCACCTCCTGCACACATATTCGCTGCTCCCTGGAAAGTGTTAGTGAGCAGGGGCCTGAAGAGATGAGGGAAGCAAACATCTGGTTACAAACGAGAGAGAGAGAGAGAGAGAGAGAGAGAGAGAGAGAGAGAGAGAGAGAGAGAGAGAGAGAGAGGGAGGGGGGGGGGGGGGGGGGGGGNAGAGAGAGAGAGAGAGAGAGAGAGAGAAAGAGAGAAGGAGGAGGAGGGGGAGGGGGAGGGAGGGAGGGGAAGAGAGAGAGAGAAAGAGAGAGTTGGGAGGGCCAGCAGAGCAGAGCCCCTTCCAACACAGATCCTTGCACACAGCAGCCCAAGCACCCAGGCATACATGGGATCCTGCACTCTCAGGGAGGAACTCTGTGTACCCACCCACCATGCACCTTGGTTACAAACCCTTCCATCTCCTGGGGTCTACAATATGCCCTGGCATTGAAGAAGCCATGGGGACCAGTCACTCACTTGTTGACAGTATTGTCCTGGTTGTCCAGAGTGGACAAGTAGATATTGACGAAGGGGAGGCTAGTACCAAAATCATCCAGGACCATGGGATCCGTGTGCCGTAGGGTCTTCTTGAATTCCTCCACCAGCTCCGAGAAGTTCTTGCCGCCGGTTTTCTAGAGAGACCAAGGACAAGAGCAGCCAAGCTACAGAGACCTGATAACCCTTGTGGACCCCAAAAGTCCCAAGTTCATCCTGACCACTGAGCCCAGAGCCTGTGAGAATGAAACAGTCTCATGGACCACCATCCCTGGTGTGAGGCCAAAGGTCTAAAGGAACAAGAGAATGTCTAAGGGTGATTCTGTGTGGCCTCCTCCAACCCTGAACAAACCTTGGGCATTGAGAGACTGGCAGGTCTACCTCAGAAAAGAGACACTCTGACAGACGAAGGACCCAGTAGGGCCCCCAAGTTAGACCAAGAGCATCAGACAGAAAAGAAGAGTGCGGCCTACAAGGTGGTGCCATGCTTGCCTGACTCTTGACATTGTGCTTACTCTTGTCCTGATTCAAGGAACATGGGGGGAGGGGGAGATATGAGATTGAGTGACACCCTGGCCGAGCGTCCCATGCTCACCCACACAGTGGCCTGGGGTTGAGCTGCCTGATACCAGAGGAACCTCAGTGAGAAGCTCCAGCACGAAGGACCCCACAGTGGGGAGCCATCCACCAAGGATCCACATTGTTCCGGGAAATACACACACAGAGAGAAAGGCAGGGCTCTCGTGGCTGTAGGGGAAGAGGCCTGCCTTACCCAAAACCACGCGTGCCTGAGACCACCTGACCTCTACTTGAGTGCAAAGCCCTTCCTCCTAGCCAATCCTTTGTCCGTCTGTCATCTCTCCGGTGCAGGTGCAGCCACCTACCTTGGTGGTTATCAGCCTGTTGACCTCCTCCTGCTGGCGCCTCAGGATCACTTGCTTCTCCTCCAGAAGTGTCACGTGCCTCTCCACCATCAGCTCCCGCTGGAACTTTTTGATGGAGTCCTAGCAAGCAGAACAGATAAGTCAAGACCACAGTGTCTCTTCTGCAGCTCTCCGTTCCCAGCCTTTCTCTGCCTAGCTTGCCCTGAACCCCACTCTACCGGCCTGCCGGTCCCATCGTGAAGTGGTGAACTCAGGGAGAAGAGGCGCACATGAGAGGGGTCACCTGGCTACCCCCACATCACTTCATAAGAAAGACACGAGTTCAGCGTGTCCAAGACACCTGGCCCATACCTCTACCTGCCATACCTAACCTGAGCAATGCACATGCACACACGCGCGCACACACACACTCTACAGGCACAGACTCACCTCTGTGTGCATGATCATCACACCTACAAACATGTTGAGGAAGATGAAGGAAGCAAGCAGGATAAAGAGGATGGTGAATGCCCGACTAATAGTAAACTTCCTCTGGTCCAGCTGCTCCTGCAGGTTTGTCCAGCCATCAACCTGACAGGCAAGGCAGGGTATACTGAGCACCGAGACCCAGCAGGGCAGGTTTCCATGTCACCTATGCCAGAGGAGCACCAGACCCACTGAGGTGGTTGCCAGCTCCATCTCCACATCAGTCCTTGGCCCCTCCCCATCCACTGGCTGTCAGCTATACATAGAAATGTAGGAGCCGGGCGATGGTGGCGCACGCCTTTAATCCCAGCACTTGGGAGGCAGAGGCAGGCGGATCTCTGTAAGTTCGAGGCCAGCCTGTCTACAGAGCTAGTTTCAGGACTGGCTCCAAAGCTACAGAGAAACCCTGTCTCAAAAACAAGAAAAGAAAGAAAGAAAGAAAGAAAGAAAGAAAGAAAGAAAGAAAGAAAGAAAGAAAGAAAGAAAGAAAGGAAGGAAGGAAGGAAGGAAGGAAGGAAGGAAGGAAGGAAGGAGAAAAAACAAATGCAGGGTGCCACTAGTTGGAAGCCAATGTGCTTAAGAGAGTCTCTTGTCTCAAGATCTCCCATTTTCTCCTAAAATGTACAGTCTATTTCCAGGCCCATCCTTGGAAAAAATAAAAGCAAAACAATTTTTTTTAAAAAAAATGCCACTCTTTATATAATTCAAAAGTCTAGACTTTGAGACTTGGGCTTTGCTTATTCTGGGTGAATTTGTGACAGCTTGTTTTTTTAAAAAAATAATTGTATGTTGTGGGCTTCATTTATAACAAGGTTAATCCAAATTAAGTATCATTTGAGAATTCTAGCAAGTTTTATTACCCTGTGCAACCCACGGAGCGATTTATAAAATCACGGAATTAGAGACAGAAATGGAGCCCACTGGCCTACGGCTGCCCCAGCAGGGAACCCCAGCTTCCTGTGCCCACTAATAAGCACCTGGAAGTGGGGAAGGCCCCACAAGAGGCCCAACATGTCTACACGCTCACACTTCCTAGACAGTCCCTCTCCAGGCTCTGCCCTTGCCACAGTCCCCAAACACAGTACCGTAGCCAGACTGAAGAGCGTGAAGAAAGCTGAAGCCAGGTTCCCCCAGTTATTCAGGTCGCCCCTCTCCACAACGCCAAACAGGCAGAATCCCAGGATAGCGAAGATGTACATGAGGACGAAGAGCAGAGTCAGCACAGAGGCCACCGTGTAGACTGTCTGCCCCACAGCAGTGATGAGTGTCTACAAGGCAGGGATACTGCAGCTAGACAGCAGGGCCTGGCAAAGCCAGATCACAGAGGTCCAGCCTCCCCAGTCCACAGCGGCCCTCAGGGCCTGGGGCCACACCTAGCACGTGGTAGATGTTCAGTAAGTAGCAGTTGAATGGATGATCAGAATTGTGCCCAGACAGAGGGTTGCACCAGTCTCAGGACGTGGCGTCTACCCTGGGTCACCGGTGGACTGTACACAGTCTCAGGACTTGGCGTCTACCCTGGGTCACGGGTGGACTGTACACAGTCTCAGGACGTGGCGTCTACCCTGGGTCACGGGTGGACTGTACACAGTCTCAGGACTTGGCGTCTACCCTGGGTCACGGGTGGACTGTACACAGTCTCAGGACGTGGTGTCTACCCTGGGTCACGGGTGGACTGTACACAGTCTCAGGACTGGGTCACCTCTCCAACAGCCCCAGTGACCTCTCTACTTGAACCCAGCCTGAATCTGCGGTCAGCCCTGGATATTGTGTTTGTGCTCCTCTGCTGAGAGCCAGCCCCAAATGTCCTTTCCCCCAGGTCCAGGAGGAATAGGGACACCGTCAAATACCTAACAATAGAGAGGGCTAAGAGAAAAATGTCTCCCCGTTCTTTCTGGACCTCACCTTACAGGCATCTTATGACCTTCATCTTCATCCTGTAAAATGGCTAACTTCCTGTCCTCCCTTCCTTCATCTGTCCCTGGAGTGCTCCATACATTTATTGTGCACTTACGATGCCCTGAGACTTGCACTGAGTGTGTGCTTTATAACTGTTGACCTACTAAGAATGCTTGTTTTCACAAACTGTAGTGGTTTGGATAAGGACGGCCCCATAGCCTCATATGTTTGAATGTTCAGTCACCAGGGAGTGGCACTATTTGAAAGGATTAGAAGAATTAGGAGGTGTGGTCTTGTTGGTGGATGTGTGTTACTGGGGATAGGCTTTGAGGTTTCAGAAGCCCATGCCAGGTCCAGCCTCTCTTTCTGCCTAAAGATCAGGATGCAGCAGCTCTCAGTTACTTCTCCAGCACCATGCCTGCCTGGTGCCATGCTCCTCCCATAATGACAACAGAAATCCTCTGACACTGTAAGCGAGCCCCCAATTAAATGCTTTCTTTTATAAGATTTGCCTTGGTCATGGTGTCTCGTCCCAGCAATAGAACATTGACTAAGACACAGACATAATTTCAAATAGGTGGCTGGTATCAGAATGACGCTTCAGAGACTTAGAGGACCAGTTTGTCCTGGTCACAATACAACGGTAGAGTGAGGAGTGAGCCCTAAACCCTTCCCCCATGCCACACCTCCAACCACCAGTGGCCCTGAGCACAGTGACTCTTAAGACTGGTTTAACACTAGGAAGGCAGCTAGGAGCTGAACACAGAAGAGAGAGGAGAGGACAGTGGGAATTCTGGGAGGTGGAAAGGTCATCTCAGAGGAACACGCTGCCCTAAATTCCCCTGGGGAATAAGAGCAGTCTTTGCAGATTCATTTGGAAAGAACTGAGTCTTGACGATGGCCTCGGAACTCTCCCAAGCTATTATAAATTGCCTCCCACAGGCTCATGTACTTGGGCTCGATAATCAGCTGATTGGCTTTTTGGAAGCAGCAGCTGGATCATGAGATCACTGGCATCATCAAGGGATTATGACCTGATAGAGTCACAGTATGATAGTATGGGGGAGCTGGAAATGGAGCGTAGTTGAGAGCAGTAACGCATTGGTGGCTCACCCTTGAGGATGCTGCCCTGGCCCCTTCCTGTACTACACTCTCTGCTTCCCGTCTGCCATGAGGTCAGTGCCTCTGCCACACCATTCTCGCCAACAGAACAAAGGCACAATAAAATCATGAATTAAAACTATACAGGGCAGAGGAAACCCTGAGTGAAGAGGTGGGAAAATGGGTGCTGTTGACTGGGCACAGCCAAGTCAAGAATCGCAGAGCCTCAAACTAAAAGCCTCCCTCCCCCTCGGCATGAGGCTCAGAGGCAAGGCAAGGCCTCCCTTTGATCCCAGTGTGGCTCTTGACAGTGCATGCGGAAAATGTCCGCTGTAGCTTTCTGCCCATTCCTGGGATGTTTGCAGACTCAAAACTGCTTGCCTGTGGAGACTGCTCCTATGGGGTTAGCGAGACCTGCGTCCTTGATCGTTTACTGTCTGTGTACGATCACCCTGCTGCCCTGCCCGTCTCTACACCATCCACATGCCGAGCTTCAGGTGGGCAGCTGAGTTCTCTCCATCCAAGTGCACCGTACACTGACTCCTGCTTACCCATCTGTGTGTCTGTCTGTCTGTGTCGTCTGTGCTTCCCTCACTCCCTCACTACCCAAGTCAGCTCCGTCCCTGCAGCCTTGCACGAATGTGGAACATAATAAACAATTCCTACCTTTAAGCTGTTCTCTTGAGTCATTTTGGTGACAGTTACAGAAAGCTAGCTAACACACAAGGCCGAAGAAAGTGGGAAACCCTGGGCACTGTGGCCACGGCACCCGTATAAGGTACAGAGGCAGGAAGCCAGTGTGCCCAGAGGTAGAACCTGCACAGGGCTCAGGACGTGGCTGTTCCAGGTTCCCACCTCGGGGCCAGATCATGGATGGGTGGCACCTGAGATCACAACAGAGGAACCTTGAAAGTGGCCGTCAGAGGGAAGGAAGCCATGCTCTCTGCAGGGACCCCACCAGCTGCTTAAGGCCACATTCTTCAAGCACAAGCCCACCGGGCTCCAGCAGTGTGCGGTTCAGATTGATACAGAAACTCATCTGGGGGGTGGGGACTCTGTCTCCGGAAGCCCTGGTCTCGAGGTTCTGAGGTCTGGCCTGGAAGCAGCATCTGCTTTTGAATTCCCAGTTGCTAGGAGAATCAGTTCTTAGTACCGGTTTAGCTCCTGGGGCTCTGAATCAACCACTGCTGTTCTCTTAGCCCTAGGACATGTTGGGTGCCTCTAAGCACAAGAGGTGGCTGGGCCCAGGGCACTGAGGAAGCATCCTCCACAGCCTCTTGGATATGGGGGAATGATGAGGCCCCAGAAAGCAGGAACAGGAAGGTGGCAGTAAGCAGAGGCAGTGGGGACCCTAGATAGCTGGGCACGCATCTGGCAGAACTCTGTGTGTGAAAAGCCAAGGACAGGCTTTGTGAAAGTCATACAGCCATTAGGTGGGAGGCACTGACTTTTTAATGATTAGGGGTCAGGAACCAAGTACTAGCTTTAAGTAGTGAGATATCTCATTTATTAGGGGCTCCTTTAAACTTCAGTTGGCAATCTAGGTGGCTCATGCCTTGAGTCCCAGCACTCGGGAGGCAGATCTCTGAGTTTGAGGCCAGCCTGGTCTACAGAGTGAGTTTCAGGACAGCCAGGGCGCCACAGAGAAACCCTTTTTCAAAACAAAACAAAAAATAACAAAAGAAATAATTCCTTGAGTGTTACATCTGCTAACCTGTCTGACCAAACTGTGGTTACTGCTTACTAATGTCATCGTGCTCCTGAAACCAGTAGAAAGCATGCCTAGCTTTACTCTACAGATGAGTGAGTTGAGGCACAAGGTTCCTCGAGTTAAACGCCAAGGTTCAGGTCTAGAGAAATAGTGCAGTGGTTGAGCACAGGATGCTCCAAAGGAGACCCAGGTCCAGGTCCCAGCACCCACATGGTGTCTCACAATCTTCTGTAACTCCAGTTCTGGGGGATCCAAGGCCCTCTTCTGATCTCCCCAGGTACCAGACACAAACAGCACACATACTAACGCACAGGCAAAGAAAATAAACACTTTAATAAAATGTCAGGGCTGAGCTCCGAAAGCTGTGTCTGGCTATACAGGCCAATCTGAGCCCACTCTTCCTATCCATCCATACTGGCTGCCTTTCACATGGTGCAATGGCTGTGAGCTGTGAGCCAGAACCCACCAGTGTTTGGGCTGCTTTGACCACGGCTGCCATTTTTTTCTTTTTTGATGGGGAGGGTCTCCTTTTTTTGATAGGGGCACTCTGGGAGCTCCACTACCACCATCTTCCTGAGTTGCCAAAGTCTTGGAACATTCTTCAGAACATTTCAGAACAGGCCTCAGGCTCATGTCTCAGCCTCAACCCATCCTACAGGCATGCATCCTCAGCCCATGTTTGCCCAGGGACCTGGTCTCCAGGAAGAAGCTCATCTGGGTCTGTTGTCTTTGTCTAGTAGGGTGTGTCTGGGCCCTAAATGTGAGCTCTCCCCATGACATACACCCACAGCTACTCATTCCTTACATCCATGTAATCACGTGCCTGTGTGTGCATATGTGTGTGCCCAGGCCTCACTCCTCTCCAGTTCCAGGCCAGTGTCTATACTTCCTGTTCATACTTCCTTGTCCCTTACCATGGACTGTTTTCTTCCCCTGATGTGGGATGCCCCTCTGTATGCTATGAATATGTTTTATTACCACTGGTTAATAAAGAAGCTGCTTTGGCCTATGGCAGGGCAGAATAGAGCTAGGCGGGAAAACTAAACTGAATGCAGGGAGAAAGATGACAGAGTCAGGAAGACGCCATGTAGTTGTCCAAGAAGCAAGATGTGAAGTAACAAACCATGAGCCTCATGGTAAAATATAAAATAATAGGAATGGGTTAATTTAAGATGTAAGACCTAGCCAGGAATACATCTGAGCTGTTGGCTGAACAGTTTTGTAATTAATGTAGTTTCTGTGTGATTGCTCAGGTCTGGGCAGCCAGGAAACAAAAGTGCAATCTCCATTTATATTCTTCTTGAGTGACTAGCCTCTCTGAGGATGCTAACAACCTCTTGTTGCCCATCTGAAGGGCATTTGCCTTGGTTTCCTTGCTACTACTTGATTCCTCCAGGCTGCCTCCTCAGTGTGGATTTTCCTGCCCTGGCCATTGCTTGGTTCTGTATTTGCTTCCCTCTCCTCTCCTCTCCTCTCCTCTCCTCTCCTCTCCTCTCCTCTCCTCTCCTCTCCTCTCCTCTCCTCTCCTCTCTCTCTCTCTCTCTCTCTCTCTCTGCCTCCTCTCTGAGTGATCTTTTGTTTTCTTGATTTTTTGAGACAGGGTTTCTCTGTGTGGCCCTGGCTGTTCTGGAACTCACTTTGTAGACCAGGCTGACCTCAGATTCACAGAGATCGGACTGCTTCTGCCTCCTGAGTGCTGGGATTAAAGACATGTGCTACCACGCCCAACTAGGCATTCTCTCACACCAACACCCCCTCCCCCCATTCCCACGCAGGCATGCACAGGTGCACACACAGGAGGCACGTACCCTGATGCCTCTGCTGTAGGAGATAAGCTTCAGGATTCGCAGAGACTGTATCCCGTCGGCAATGTTGAGGTTTTTGTAAAGCCGTCCCTTGATCTTTCGGAGGGTATAGGGAATCAGGATGATAAAGATAATGACCACATCCAGTAGGTTATAGCCATCGCTCCAGTATTTAATGGGGTCCACATAGACCTTCATGAGGAACTCACAGGTGTAGATGGAGACAAAGAGAATCTCTGAGATCTACAGGGGTCACAGGGGTCACAGGGGTCAGAGATCAAAACAACGCAGAGCCCCATAATCCTGGCCCTCTCCCTGCTGAGACCACCCAGCTGGGTGTGGAAAACCCCAGACAGAGCCCCCAGCTCTCTTACTGAGCCTGAATCCCTTCCCCATCTGCTCTTCCTTGCCTGTGGCACTAAGCCTAGGGCGGCTAGGTTTCCCTTAGATGCAAGACATGACTACCTCGTAGCTGAGCAGCTGGCCGCAAATGGCTCTATATACAGTTCCTGGTCAGTATTCAACTTAGCAGACCTCCTGACATAACTCTTCCCCCAAGAGAAAGTCACAAGGGTTTTCTGGCCATCCTGAATATATACACGTTTAAGTATACAAATATATAGTTATATTTAATCCATTACCTTCATCATACATACTCAAAAATCAGTCAACTAAAACCCCATTTTTAAAGAACATTCATTCTGCTTTTTTCCCACGTTTATACTGTGAATCAATCTCCTCTGAATGTCTCTCCCTCGCCTACAACTCCAATGGCTCTACAATTGCCTAGGGGTCCTTATTAGTCTGTATGGTGTGTTCCGAGTTGTGTGTGTGAGCGTGTCTGTGTGTGTAGGTGTGTGTGCTAGCACGTGCTTGCTATGGCCTACTTGTGGAGGTCAGAGGACAACTCTCAAGAATCTTGTTCTTTCATTCTATCTTGTTGAAGCAAAGTCCGCCCCCCCCCCCCCGTTTCCGCAGCACTGTGAACCCCAGGCTAGTCTGGGAGTTCCAGCCAAAGTCTCCCGTCTCCACCTCCCATCTTGGAGTAGGAATATTGGAATTATATATGTACACACCTGTACCTGGTTTGAGGAGAGAGAGAGAGTTGGGGGGCACAGTGAGCATGTGGTTGTCCAAGGACAACTTGTGGGAGTCTGTTCTCTCTTCTGCCATGGAAGACTGCACTGGGGTCTTTGGGCTCAGCAGCAGAAGACTTCATCCACCGACCTACACTGTTGGGGTGGTAGTGGGGCAGCGTGGTTTGGTTTTGATGTAACTCTGAATGGGGTTGTTCCCCTGATTTCTTCCTCGGCGTCTTTGTTCTTGGTTGACAGGAAGGTTTCTGGTTTTCATACGTTAGTTTTGGATGCTCTGCCATTTTGCTGAGAGTGTTTCAGATGTTCTCAGTTTTTTGGTGGTTTTGGAATCTCTCATGTGTGGTATCATCATCTGCAATCAGAGACCCCGACTCTTTCTTCCCTGTTGGATCTATCTGCTTCTCTTATCTTACCGCTCCAGCTAAGATGGCCAGCAACACAGCAATCAGGTAAGGTAGACAATGTACTTTTAGTGGGAATTCTTTCCATTTCCCCAAGTTCCCACTGTTGGCTGTAGGATTTTCACATGGAACTTTTGTGTCAACACGGGTTCCTTTTACGCCTGTCTTTTTGGACCTTTTTTCACAAAGAGATTTGGGATTTTATCGGAAGTGTTTTCTGCTTCTGTTGAGATCACATGATTTCTGTCCTTGAGTCCATCTGTTCCTGCTGAACCATCCCTCATTACCTACGTGTGTAACTTTAGCATGGTGAGGGACCTTGCTGTGTTCTTAGGTTTGGGTTGCAAATCTCAGAGGGAACTGTTTTGTGTCTATGTTCATTGGGGAGACTGTTCTTTGTCTCTCTCTTGTATGTGTATCTGGGTAACCGTGGCTTCCTAAAAAGTCACTAATGACCTCTGCTCCCCTGGTGTGTGGAGGTTTGACAAACTGACCCTTCTCCAAAGGACTGATAGGGTTCATCAGTAAATCCTCTGGACCTGGACGTTTTTAGTCAGAAAATTTTTATTACTGCTTCAATCTCATTGTTTGTTGCAGATCCAATAAAAGGATTTATCTAAGGGAAATCATGCGATTCTATTTTAATTTTTAAAATATCTTTAACATTTTTAAAAATGCCTCTTAACTACTTGCATGTTTGTTCTTTCGTGTGAAAAATATCTATTTTTAATCTAAATGAAGAAAAGGTATTTTTTTCTTTCTCAATTTCTCAAAGCATTGACAAATCTTGCTAGATGGTCCACATATATGCCTGTTTAAAGATGGCCTGTGATGGGGCCAACTGACAGATCTGTAGTGTAGCCTAAAAATTAGAAATGAAAATACTTGTACTAATTCCTTTGAATGGTAAGTATACATGTGCAATCTTTAGTTTCTAATATTTATCACAGCATTTTGGTCATCTGTGCTTACCAGTATGTGATGTTCAATAAAAGGTCATTTTCACTGTCAAAAAAAGAAGTTTCTCTGCCATACTGATGAATATCTTGCATATCAGCATAGAACCTTCATCTAGCGATGGATGGAGATAGAGACAGAGATCCACATTGGAGCATTGGACTAAGCTCCCAAAGTCCCAATAAGGAGCAGAAGGAGGGAGAACATGAGCATGGAAGTCAGGACCACAAGAGGTGCACCCATCCACCGAGACAGTGGGGCTGATCTATTGGGAGCTCACCAAAGCCAGCTGGACTGTGACTGACAAAGCATGGGATAAAACCGGACTCTCTGAATATGGCGGACAATGAGGGCTGATGAGAAGCCAAGGACAATGGCATGGGGTTTTGTTCCTACTTCATGTTCTGGCTTTGTGGGAGCCTAGCCAGTTTGGATGTTCACCTTCCTAGACCTGGATGGAGTGGTGATGACTTTGGACTTTCCACAGGGCAGGGAACCCTGACTGCTCTTCGGTCTGGAGAGGGAGAGGGAGAGAAGTGGGGGTAGGGGGAGAGGGGCAGGAGGAGGGGGAGGGAAATGGGAGGCTGGGAGGAGGCAGGAATTTTTTTTCAATAAAAAAATAAATAAATAAAAATAAAAAAGAAGCATCTAGAAATTTATTCATTTCTTTTAGATTTTCCAATTTAGTGAACTATAAGGTTTTAAGGTATATCTAATTACATTCTGCATTGTGATGGCTCCCTTTTCCTCTCTATTTTACTATTTAGGGCCCTCTTTCTCTGGTCTGACCCTACAGGTTTTCCAAACTTGTTTATCTTTTCAGAGAAGCAATTCTTTGATACTCTCTCTTGTTTTAATCATTTTTATTTCACTAATTTCCATCCTGATCATAATTATTTCTTCCATTTGCTAATTTTAGGTTTGGTTTGTTGTTTTTCCAGCGCCCTGAGTTGGGTGAGTAAGTAATTTGTTTGGAACCTAGTTTCTCTTGTCATGGTAAAAGGGTTTGTGTGTGTGTGTGTGTGTGTGTGTGTGTGTGTGTGTGCTTGTGCAGTGTGTGTGTGTGTGTGTGTGTGCTTGTGTAGTGTGTGTGTGTGTGTGTGTGTGTGTGTGTGTGTGTTACATAGCCAGAGGAACTAGGAGAGTCAAGGGGAGATCTTTCTGGAGCTGGTTCTCTCCTTCCACTATTCTCTGGATTCCAGGGATTGAACTCTGGTTTCCAGGCTCATGGGACAGGCACCTTTACCTCATAAGACATCTCCCCAGCCCGCCCAATTTTGAAGGGCAGACACTTAGAGCCATGACCTCCCTCTTAGGATTTTTCCACGTATTCCCTAGGTCTGCTGTGCTATGTCTTCCTTTTCATTTGCTCTAGGGATGCTCTTATCTCCTGATTCCTTCGAGGGCCCATTCGTTGTTTAATAGTGAACTCATTGACTCCACGGGTTTCTCTTGCTCTGGCTTTGTAGTTTTATTTTCCATTGTGGTCAGATAAAATACAGGCAATTATTTCAATTTTCCTGGTTTTGTTGTTGTTGTTTGTTTGTTTGTTTTGAGACAGGGTTTCCCTTTTTAATCCTTGCTGTCCTGGAACTCACTTTGTAGACCAGGCTAGCCTCAAACTCACAGAGGTCCACCTGCCTTTGCTCCCAAGTGCTGGGATTGAGGGCATGTGTCACCACGGCTTGGCATCCTATTATTTATTAAAACTTGGCTCTTTATAATAGAAACCTATATCTATATTCCCAGAATAATTTAGTATTTACCATAAAATTCCTTAACCCCCATTTTTTTTAATGCCTTGCATATTATCTGGTAAGGACTCCAAGTGCCGTGAGATGGATCAGTGGTTAGAACACCTGCAGAGGACCCAAGCTAATTCCCCAGCACCCACACCAGGTGGCTCAAGATTGCCAATCACTCCAGAGGCAGAGGATCTAACACTATCTTTTGGACTCCATAGGTATCAGCACACACACACACACACACACACACACACACACTAGAGAAAGAGAGAGACAATTTTTTAATCCACGTAGCATGACTGAAGAACATTCCAGTCTGCACTTTGTAGCATGCCCTTCCTCTCCTCCCTGTTTCTGCATTTTGTAGCATGCCCTTCCTCTCTTCCCTGTTTCTTGGCAGTGGACAGTTGGTTCCTTGAATACATTCAGGTTTACCCTAAGCAAGGCTGCAGGTGCCCCTTTTCAGAGCAGGCACATAGTTCTGCTGGCTTCTTGTTGATACTCAATGGCCAGACCCATTGCTTCTCCAGAGCTGAGGTGGGTGACATGCTATCAGTTCTAATTTACCAGCTGGAACACTTTATAGAAATAGCATGCATGGTGACACACCTGAATCCCAACACTTGGGAGGCTGCGGCAGAAGGGTCATGAGTTTGGAGCCAACCTGGGCTGCAGAGCATGGACTTGTCTCCAAACGAACAATCAGGAACTGCAGTAGGAGTAGCCTCACAGTAGATGACCCCTTAAGGTTAGGGCTCAAGCCAGAAATACCAGTAAAGCTTGACTCTCAGTAATTTCCTTTTCAAGAGGAATACTTGGTCCCTTGCCTCCTTGGCCTCACTTCAATTTTTGAGGATTTTCTAACCATAGTACTTATTATCCTTATGCCTCACGTTGTCTCATCTGTGGCCAGCAGAAGTATCCCCAAATTATCTTCTGCATCCTTTTGCAAATAAACTCTGACAGCTTTCTTACAGGGAAGATGACAAGATCCAGGATAAGCTGTTTCTCTAAGCTCTGGTTCCAACATCTCATCATAGATACCAAGAATGTGTTGGTCTGTGTTCTAGCCATTGGTGGAGAAGATAAAAACACCCCTGCTGTTAATGCTGATATTCCCAAAGCAAGCACAGAACCACGGACTTTGAATTCAATGGCGTCTACACATCTCTGTCTCCCTTTTCCATGAGCATCCTCATTTTCAATAGCATGGGGTGGTCCCAGCATCAGGATGCTGAAGCAAAAGGAACCCAAGTTTGGGTCTGCCTGGGCTACACACAAAATCTTGCTATAAACAGACAGATAAATACCACAAACAGACAACACGGAAGATGGAAGAAAACAAACAAAATGTAAGCCATCCTGGGTGGAAGATGTAAGCCGCAGGTGGAGTGCTTGCCTACTATGTGTAAGCACACCCTTCACCCTGAAAAAGACAGAAAAAGTCCACAATAGCCCATGTGCTGTATCACAGATTCCACAGTGTCTCAGAATAACACTACCATGTGCATCACGACTAAGGCAATGGTTAAACATGGGTCCGCGTGGTAAGACCCTGTTGCTGAAGACAGCACACACTTTCAGAAGAGAGAAGACGACAGATAAGGAACAGGTCATAAAGAAGTCATCTCAAACGGACCAGGAAATGCTCTCCCTGCTGGCCAGTTCTCGGAGGGCCAGCCCATGTTACAGGCACTTACTGAGTAACTAATTACACACTAACTGGACCTAGTGAGCCATCAAAAAATTTGAAAGATATGATATTTTGCTAGAGGCATCATGGGAAGGATATGGAGAAAACTGGAGGGGGAAAGGAAGATAGATATGATCATATTTTATTGTATGTATGTATGAAGTTCTCAAAAAAAATAAAATAATTTTTAAAATAAAAACACAATTTTGCCAGGCAGTGGTGGCACACGCCTTTAATCCCAGCACTCAAAAGGCAGAGGCAGGAGAATCTCTGTGAGTTAGAGGCCAGCCTGGTCTACAGAGTGAGTTCCAGGACAGCCACGGCTACACAGAGAAACCCTGTCTAAAAAAAAAAAAAAAAAAAAAAAAAAAAAAAAAAAAAAAAAAAAAAAAAAAAAAAAAAAAAAAAAAAAAAAAACAAAAATAAAGTTTTAAAACTTTTTGTAATGGCTCTTATCTTTCAGTCTTGCTATCGCCTTAGGATCAAAGAACATATTCATTATAGGCTATGTTTTTCCTGTGAAATAACAGTCAGCATTACTTCTGCAAACAACTATACCTGCCATGTTCATCACCAAAGCAACGAAGAGATCCTTTTTCAGTCTTTTGGGCTGGCTGCGACTTTTTCTTAAGGACGGGCAGGGAAGCACACACCATGTTTCTGAACATCAATGAGTCTGGAACCTTTTTAGAAAGCCTGAGACCCCTCTGTTCACATTCTTGGTTCGCATTTTCTTTCCTGAGGGAGTTGCACGTGTCACCCCACTCTCCGTGGGCAGAGAGCACAGCCATGGAGAAATGTGATGGCAGTTGGCCTCTTCATTAGCTGGATTCCCCACACTTCGAAGCTCAATCGTTTCTCTCCAGCGCCCTAGCGTTTGCTGGGTTGAGTTCATATTCTTGGGTATGCTATGTGCACCCTTTTGACATACAGATTTTGAGGTTATTTTCCTTGGGTTTAGATTTTAGCATTCTGACCCCTGGACATTTGAAACTCAAGAGTTCCCACCATCCCTACCCAGGCACTGCCCCTCAACACCAGGACTTAGTACTTTCTGAGTATTTCTCATCACTTCCATCCATAATGAGATTTTTAATTCCTCAGTTTAACTCAGGCTGTATTTAGCTGTTTGCTCTACTTTAGCCTTTGTTTTCTAAATGATTTTGTTTGATTTCTAGTTGTTTCCTAAATTTTGAAACTTTGTTTCTGTTCCTTCCTATACCTGGAGAGTCTTCCTGAACATTCCTTTGCTCTGGGGTTGGATGCTTTCCTGTTTATCTGATTTTGTAGACATCTTTACAGTGGGGTTTCACACCTCTATGATCTGATTCCTTGTTCTGTTTTCTTATGACAAGGTGTGATATTTTACCTTTGTCCTTTCCTATTGTGCTTTTCCTCCTAAATTCATTTCCTAACCTTGAAGAACTACGCTTCTAACTCCATTCAACTTTTGTCCTAAAGTACACCACTTCATTTTAGGAACTGTTTGAATCCTATTTCCTTCTGTTTTATCTAACCCCATTTTTTTTTTAGCTGTCTCCAACCTGTTAGATTTTACGTCCATTCTAAGTGCACAGTCCTTTGGAGGGAGCCCTTCTTGGTCAGTTCTGCAAACTCCTTGGTTCTGGTTTGTTCTAGCCCCTTCAGAGATGCCTGAGAACTTTCTGTGCTCACTACTGGTGTGGGCAGCACAATTCTTGCTTTGGATGGCTACCCTCACCTCAACTCAGCACAGTTGCCCCCTAGTGCCCCTCTGCTTCCTCCTCATAGGGACTGGCACTAATATGGTTGAGAAAGCTGCCCATGAGTCTTGGAGACGAAATCTAGTTCCTCTGTCTATAAATAAGACAGAATTCAGGGAGGTTGTCCAGTCACATTGCCACTCTCTGATGCTACTGCAGAGGTCAAAGGTCTTTTAAACTGTTTCTATAGAAAAGTTCTAGCAGCAAAATGCCCATGAAATATTTTAACATTTTCAGAAATAAAACAGACAACGCAGACTAAAAGCATTGACGTGCTCACCTCGAAGAGATGGAACATCCTATAATGTATGTTGTAATCGGTCTCCAAGACCATGAAGGCGGCATTGGTGGTGATAGCGCTGATCATGAGCACCTGGAAGAAAGAGCTCTTGAGGAACTTCCTGAAGAACTTCTGACATTCCACGTCCTTCCTCCTGTCAGAGGGGCGAGCAAGAGGTGTGGTTACAGCAGACAGCTTGATTCCCGCTCAACTGCACCCCTCTTAGGGGTTGTTTTCCCCACACCATAAAAAGAAACATACAGAGGCCCTGCGACACATGGGCAGAACAGCCTGTCCCCAGCCTCTACCCGGACTTCTGAGAAAGAACAGTCACCACTTCTCAGACCCAGGAAACACTATCTCCACTTACTTAACAAACCGTCCACAGGTGACTACTGTCAGTAAACACCAGGGAAGCAGGAACATATCTCAGAGGAAAAACTGATAATGGGTAAGCACGCGCACCCACGCGCACGCCCGTGCACACACAATCTATGAGGAAAAGTCAAACATTCTCACAGAAAGGGGACACACATCCAATCATGACAGTACAAATGGAATCGGGGATACAAATAACACCTTCATGCTTTTTCCCAGAAATCCAGTCCAAATTTCCATGTGACAGTGAACGCTGGCAAGAGGGGGGAGTGTGGTGGACACGCTTAAGGAACAGGGAAACCTACACTGGTCAGCTTAATTTGATGAAAACCAAAACAAAACCCAGAACCGTTCCTCTCCCCCAAACTCTAAAGAACACAACCTGCAATGTACGTGGTGACTTAGTCCAACACGTTTCTCCCAGGGTATATATAGTGATGAGAACATAGAAATGATTTTAAAATCTAACAGAAAGGACTGGTTACAGGCTGGTGAGATGGTCCAGAGGATAAACGCACTTGCTGCCATGCCCAACAACCTGAGCTCAACCCCCAGAGCCCACATGGTAGATCCCAAAAGCTGTCCTCTAAGCTCCACAAAGATGTCGGGGCACACACATGCCCATATATACATATAGTTTTAAAAGACTGGTTAAGTAAACTAGGGATATCATACCATGAAATTTCCTAAAGTATATCTACACGTTTTCTCATGGCTTAGAAAAATGATTGATGATCTGGTGGAGAACAGAGCACAAAAACAAGATGAAAACATTCTCATCTCAGAAAGATTTCATCCATGTACAAGTACAGAAGGCACCAAGAGCGATGGCAGCCACATCCCAGCAGTGCCCGCAGGAGTGGAGAGGCCACATTCTTTTTCCTGTTTGGTCACATTCATCTGCGCTTTAAAAGTTTTCTTAAAGAGTAGTGTGCTTTACTATCTGTAGCAAATGGATACATTCTTACACACACACACACACACACACACACACGAGAGGGGGGGGCAGGATGATAGCTTGGGCCTACAACATAGTGAGGCCTTCACCTTAAGACACAGAACACCAAGGAGCTGAAGCCCCCTTGGCCTCTGTGGGCACCACACATGCAGGTGATGCAGGTGGTACACATACACACACACTGACACTCACGAAAAACACACAGAAAAAAAACAACAAAAAGAACACAGACTATTATCGTGGAATATTACTTTAATGATGTAAAGATGTGTTACATTTGTTCATGCTGTACTTGTTTAATTATGTAAAAATGTGTTGCTGTTTCACCCTTGCCTGCCTAAGGCACCTGATTGGTCTCATAAAAAGCTGAATGGCCAATAGCTAGGCAGTAGAGGGATGGGCAGGGCTGGTGGGCAGAGAGAATAAGTAGGAGAAAGAGAGAGGGGAGAGGAGGGAGAAAAAGAGGGAGATGCCCAGGGCCAGCCAGACAGGCAGCCCCCAGCTAGCCAGACACTGAGTAAAACATACATAGGGAAAGAAAGGTAAACAGCCCTGAGGTGCAAAGGCAGATGAAGAGAAACAAGTTAATTTAAGGTATAAGAGCTACTGGGACAAGCATAAGCTAAGGCCGAGCATTTGTAACTAATAACAAGTCTCCATGCCATGATTTGGGAGCTGGTTGGTGGCCTAGAAGAAAGACTGCTACATTTGGCATTCCATTGTGGGGCCCAATCTTCCATACAGGGCCTGAGAAAGCTGGAAAAACAAAACAAAACTGGATATGGCTCCTTTAAGAGGTTCTGCAGTCAGATGTCTTTGCCATTTCTATAGTTTTAGAAGTGGCTTGCACTGTACTTCCTGTTTACTCAGGTAATATTATCTCCTTCTGAGGTCTTTGATGAAGTTGAAGACTTAATCGTTACAGTTAGTTATGATTAAAGATAAATTAGGTACAAAACTTTGGACTCATCAAGATAGGATAAACAGGGCTGGAGAGATGGCTCAGTGGTTCAGAGCACTGCCTGCTCATCTAAAGGTCCGGAGTTCAGTTCCCAGCAACCACATGGTAGCTAACAATCATCTGTAATGAGATCTGGTGCCCTCTTCTGGCCTGCAAGCATGAATGTAGGCAGAATACTGTCCACAATAAGTAAATAAATCCTTTTTTAAAAAAAGATAGAATAAATAATGGAGTATTTTCTCTGAATTTGCCAAATACAAATGGATTAGATATTGTAAATGTAATTCTCACTTGATAATTGTTCTTATTGTATATAGTTTTACATTTAAAACCTTTTTATTTAGACAAAAGGGGGAAATGTGGAATATTACTTTAACAATGTAAAGGTGTGTTGCATTTGTTCATGCTGTATTTGTTTAATGATGTAAAGATGTGTTGCTTTGCCTTTAAGGCATCTGATTGGTCTAATATAAAGCTGAACAGCCAACGGTTAGGCAGTAGACAGAGAGGTGGGGCTGGCAGGCAGAGAGAACAAGTAGGAGGAGGAATCTAGGCTCTGGAGGAGAAGGAAGGAGAGAACAAGGGAGAAAGAGAGACCTGGGACATACAGAATGAAAGAAAGGTAAAAAGCCACAACGCAAATTGTAGATGAAGAGAAACAGGTTAAATTAAATTATAACAGCTGGTGGGACAAGACTAAGTTACGGCTAAGCATTCATAACTAATAATAATTCATAACCAAGAAAGCCTGCTACAGACTATATACCTTATAATCTATAACAAAATATGTAATTTGATTTGAAATAGGTCTTGTAGAAAAAGAAAGGGGGAAAAGCCTTCAAATTATCTAATACGTTAGTAAACACGGAGTCCAATTCAAACTCCAGGTGAACAGCAAATGTACCAGCCTCACCCTCCAGAGAAACCAGCAAGTCTGAGACAAGCTCTTCTCCCTTGGGATGCAGACAAGTCCCTATAGAAGAGGCTAGGAGAGTTCATGTGCCTATTCCCACACTGCCCTTCCCACATTTTCGAACGATACTTACTTAATCTTCTTCAATCTTGCATACAATGCCCCTGATGCAGTGCCAAACAGTGAGCTAGACACAACCTTTACAGGGTTGTGGTGAAAGTACTGGAACATTTCCCAAATTTTCTATTTTTATCCCTTGCTTTTATCATATAACCAAAAATCCTCTGCCTAAGGATTTCCTCGGCACCTGGATTCTAAGAAGCAGCAAGAGGGACCCTGGAAAGGGTTCTCTGCTCTATGAGGTCACTCTTAGGCATTCCGGCAGTTACTAGCCTGAGAAGAAGGCCTGTGGGCTCAGCTACTTACAAGTCCCTCTTCTTGAGGTGGGGATGCCCCAAAGAGGATGAGCGCCTAGCAACAGAAGGTAAAGCAGGACAACACTGGAGACATGAAGACGTCCCCACATAGTGTGCCCACTCTGCAGACAAAGGTCTTTTATAAGATGGTAAGACAAGTCGAGGCTAATGTAGGAGGAAAATTTAAGTTTTCTGAGTTTCTAAGGGGACAGAACACACCAGAGCCAACACCAGGGACACCTAGAAGGAAAGGAAGATCGCAATGGGTGAGGCAGTCGACATAAAATCCCAGGGAAAGCAGAGAAAGCATTTCCAGGTCTTGTTATTTGGAAGTTTTAGATGTGGTTACATGTTGACGGAGATTTCTGTCCTGCCAGGTTCCGTAGCTGTTCAGTCCCAAAAGAAACACAGAGAGGACTACATTAATCATAAACTGGTTGGCCTATTCGCTCAGGCTTTTTATTAACTCTTACATCCTACATTAATCCATAATTCTTTTCTGTGTCAGCCACGTGGCTTGGTACCTTTTATTGGCAAGGCATTCTCATCTTGCTTCCTCTGTGTCCAGGTAACAACTGCAGACTGCACCTTTCCTCTTCCCAGAATTATTCTATCCTGGTCACCCCGCCTATACTTCCTGCCTGGCCACTGGCCAATTAGCATTTTATTAAACCAGTCAACTGACAAACCTTTACAGGCTACAAGACCATTGTCCCACAGTAGGTACTAAGACTCCTTTCCTGAGGAAAATGTAAACAGTGTCTAAAGTCCCAAGGACAAATTCAGAGAAGACTGCAACAAAGTTCACGCCAAGGGAATCAGTGAGTTTATTGGACTTACTTACAGAGCACACATAAAGGGTTACATACAGGAGGTAGGAGTTCCCTCCCAAAGGCCACACAGGAATCATTTCTTTCCCATAGATGCATAAATGGAGGCACCCTCCCCTAACTTTCACCAGCCTATAGACTCTAGCCTTGCCCTCAGGCCACAAGCAATCAGCGCAGAATTGCATGCAACCCTAGAATGGCTGGATACCCAGGGTCCTGCAAGCCTTCCCATCCTTCCTTCCAGTCAGCAAGCACAGCTGGGAGGATCCTGCAAGCCAGCACGGCTGAACTCCCAACGATACTGGTTGCTTGCCTCAGAGGATAGTCATGAACAACGTGGAAACTTCTGAGTTTGAGGAATAAGCGCAAGACCTAGAGATGTTTTTAAGTACAAGAGCTGTAGAGATTTAGTTCTGTTTAACCTTCAAAATTACTATCCCCCCCCCTTTGGCTTGATTCTCACAAGGCAAGACATGGAGATCTGGATTGCTGGGTAATGTTAAATGTTTAATCACTGAGTTAGTCAACTTCATGAAAACACAAGTTCTTGAGCTACAAGGAAATGGGGTAGCCACCCCACTGTCTCTCCTGTCCCTAATATTCTTTCTTCTCTGTTATTTGCAGTGTTAGGGGTGGACCCTACATCCTTATATGTTGGGCCTCTACCCCAGCTAGTCCTTAATATTCTAAAACATGTGTGCAGGTCCATTGCTGGTAGGAAAATACTCAAATAAGCAACTAAAACACTGAATTGAGAAATAACAGCATCTATACCTGCCCGAGAGAAGAAGCAAGTCCTGGCGATTATACTCAACAATATTATGTCACATAATAAAATTAGGAGAGGACCTCAAATCTGATCCCAAATGGTAAGTGTTGGAGACAGAGGGAAGTACCCCGAGCTGGAAATGCAGAATACACACATGCACTAGTACATCGCACATGTCTCAGAAAGATACACAATTTTTTAAAACTGATTTTCTGACACAGTCTGACATAGCCCAGGCTGGTCCCAAATGTCATATATAGCGAGAATGACCTAGGACTACAGCCCCTCCTCCTAAGTGTGGTGTCCTGGGATTACAGGTGTGTGCCGCCACACCTAGTTCCATCCAATCAATTATCTGCAGATTAAAAACACACACAGACACACGCTGGGTGGTGGTGCACGCCTTTAATCCCAGCACTTGGGAGGCAGAGGCAGACGGATCTCTGGGAGTTTTGAGGCCAGCCTGGTCTACAAGAGCTAGTTCCGGGACAGGCATCAAAGCTACAGAGAAACCCTGTCTCGGAAAAAAAAAAAAAAAAAAAAAACGTGGATCTCACCCCCAAAAGGAAATAAGATACCCAATTATAAAATGGGGTACTGAGCTGAACAGAGATCTCTCAACAGAAAAAGTTCAAATGGCCAAAAGACACCTAAGGTCATGCTCAACTTCCTTAGCGATCAGGGAAATGCAAATCATGACAACTTTAAGATACCATCTTACACCTGTCAGAATGGCTAAAATCAAAAACAAAAACACCAATGATAGCCTTTGCTGGAGAGGTTGTGGAGAAAGGGGTACACTCATCCATTGCTGGTGGGAATGCAAACTTGTGCAACCACTCTGAAAAGCAGTGTGGAGGTTTCTCAGGAAATTCGGGATCAACCTACCCATGGACCCAGCAATACCACTCTTGGGAATATATCCAAGAGAGGCCTTATCATACAACAAAAGTATATGCTCTACTATGTTCATAGCAGCATTGTTTGTAATAGCCAGAACCTGGAAACAACCTAGATGCCCTTCAATTGAAGAATGGATGAAGAAAGTATGGAATATATTATGTATGGAATGTATATATTAGAGTACTACTCAGCAGTAAAAAAAACAAGGACTTCTTGAAGTTTGCAGGCAAATGGATGGAAATAGAAAACACTATCCTGAGTGAGGTAAGCCAGACCCAAAAAGAGGAACATGGGATGTACTCACTCATATTTGGTTTCTAGCCATAAATAAAGGACATTGAACCTATAATTCGGGTTCTTAGAGAAGCTAAATAAGAAGGAGAACCCAAAGAAAAACATATAGGCATCCTCCTGAATATTAACCTTCATCAGGCAATGAAAGGAGACAGAGACAGAGACCCACATTGGAGCACCAGACTGAAAGCTCAAGGTCCAAATCAGGAGCAGAAGGAGAGAGAGAACAAGCAAGGAACTCAGGACCGTGAGGGGTGCACCCACACACTGAGACAATGGGGATGTTCTATCAGGAACTCACCAAGGCCAGCTGGCCTGGGTCTGAAAAAGCCTGGGTTAAAACCGTTCTCGCTGAACATAGCGGACAATGAGGACTACTGAGACCTCAAGAACAATGGCAATGGGTTTTTGATCCTACTGCACGTATTGGCTTTGTGGGAGCCTAGGCAGTTTGGATGCTCACCTTACTAGACCTGGATGGAGGTGGGTGGTCCTTGGACTTCCCACAGGGCAGAGAACCCTGATTGCTCTTTGGGCTGACGAGGGAGGGGGACTTGATTGGGGGAGGGGGAGGGAAAGGGGAGGCGGTGGTGGGGAAGAGACAGAAATCTTAAATAAATAAATAAATAAATAAATAAATAAATAAATAAATAAATAAATAAGATGTAGTTTATCATGGAGCCATTTTGCATGACTACCACCCAGGAACACAGGCTCAGCAGTCAAGAACTTAACACTGCTCTTGCAGAGGCCCTGAATACAGCTCCAGCACCCATGGCAGACGGCTTACAACTGCCTGACTCCAGCTCCAGGGGATCCTGCACCTGTGCCCTCCACAAGCAACTGGACACACGCGTATTCACACGAAGACACACACACGTCACGTTTTTAAATAACTCAGGCTGGCTTATTATATGTCTGACTAGATGTAATAAAAAAATAACTCAAGCTTCGGGTTCAAATCATTCTGTATTTAAGCGTCAAGTATACAAAAATGTACATATGTAAAAACAAGCAAATTTATGATTTAACTTATTCCCATGAACGGCTTTAAAAACGCTGCAGACGACCAGGTTCCATCTGTACACGCATGGAAGGCGATCACAGAGAGGCGGCAGCGCTGTCAATGAACCGGGCCAGCTTCACATCACGCTTGCTCAAGCCTCCACAGTCGTGCGAGGTGAGAGTTATCTGGACCTGCGGATGGGAAAACAGCTTTTCAGATATAAGCAGACCTGCGGGAGAGACCTGGGTGCTTCAGGAGTCAATCTGTGTCTTAACATTCCTATCTGAGAACCAGAGGGTAGATATTTAGAAAATACTAGACACTGCATTTCCCAAACCCAGGGAGCTTGGGGTACAGGCTGCACCAAGCTGGATGTGATAGCCACCCAGGAGGGAAGGCTCCCAGAAGACGAGGGAAGTCATCAGCCCGGATGGGAAATCCTGCTTCCTGGGGGAAGCATGAACAGAGACAGAAGCGCCATTTTAACTCCCAGAACTTTAATTATACCAACTCTGCTCAGGCCACCAAGAATAGGCAAGCCGACCTATCAAGCAGTCCCTGAGTGAGGTAGGAAAGCAGGCGACCAAATGAGGGAACATGGATGGGCTCATCATTCAACAAGATTAAAAAGCAAAAGTGTCCAGAAAGTAGAAGCTCATCCTGGAACTGGACAATTAGAAACTGCTGCTTTTTAAATAACAATAGTGAAATCCTCTGTTTCTCAGAGAACGTAGAATAAGTGGCTTTTAGACATAGAGCAAAGAAAAGCCAGCCAACAATTTGCAACCTAAGAGAGACATACATGAATCTAATCTACATGGGAAGTAGAAAAAGGCAAGATCTCTTGAGTAAATTGGGAGCATGGGGATCATGGTAAAGGGCAGAAGGGGAGGGGGAGAAAGGCAGGGGAGGGGAGGGGAGGAAAATATATAGCTCAATAAAACAATTTTTTAAAAAGCTACTAATAGGGAGTGGAAACGGCCCAAGAAAAAGAAGTGCACTGCAGTCAGCAAAGCTGAACGGAATGGAATCTGAAGAGCGCACTTTGACATCAGACATGGAGATGCAGAGGTTAGAGTCTCCAGAGAGTTTTAGCTCTTGCTTTGGCCCAGTGTCTCTTCACTGTGCTCATTCTCCTCCATCTTGGAACGGTGATGTATGTCCTGTGTCATTATATGTTGGAAGTATGTGATCTGCTTTTTGATTTTATGGGGCATTACAGTTAAGAGATTGTATGAATCTCAGAAGAGACTTTGGACCTTTACAGGATTAATGCTGTGACAGACTATGGGGCCTTTCAGAGTTGGGCTAAAAGCACTTTGCATTATAATAAGGCCACAAACCTATGGGGGCCAGGGATTGGAATGTGGTGGTTTGAATAAAACTGGCCCCATAGGCCCATAGGGAGTGGCACTATTAGGAGAGATGTGTCTGTGTTGGAATAAGTTTATTACAGGGGTGGCTTTTGAGGTCTCAGACACCCAAGTCAGGCCCAGTGTGGCACTCTCTCTTCCTGCTGCCCACCTATCTGGATGTAGAACTCTCAGCTACCTCTCCAGCACCATGTCTGCTGTGTCCTGTTAAGCTTCCCACCATGATGACGATGATC